TATGCTGATAATTGCTGAGTGGGTGTCAGGCCTTTTGTGAATTTGCAACCAAGTGAGATGACAAAATATGCCAAAACATGTTTTTTTTTACCTACCACTACTTGTTCTAGTCATGCCTCCCTCGTCCTCCCCCAGCTCCTCCCTCACCAATGAACTTGGACCTCATTGTTGGGAGAGGAAGTTGAAGTTAAACTGCAGAATTTAAGAGTTTGAGTGAAGACAAGAGTTTAATTTGCAGATTAGTAGTTAATTATTCAGTCAGTCACAGTTCATCTGCATGGGGGATGAAAGCTCTTTGATATAACTATCTCATACTTAATATTCACATAATTATTAAATATTATTTAGTAACATGATGTTGAGCCAGAGTTGTGTTGTCCATCATTAACTTTTTCACTCTGTACTTTGGTATTTCTCAACAGCTTTTATTAGTGATTTATTTCAACTTGACCTTTATGATCAACATTGATAACAGCCTCATTTCCATTTCCTTAAAATGATTACTGAGAAGATTGCAAAGAAAATCGTTAAATAACGGTTCCTCCACTCCTGGATTCTAGAGTTTAATAAGACTACAAGTCTACAGCCACGCTAGCAGCTCTGGGAGGCTGTAGTTTTTGAGCTAAATGCTAACATCACCATGCTAACATGTAGTGATGTCAACTTTGTATGATGTTTACCATGTTAATTGCCTTTGTTTAGCAGGTTTGCAAGCTAACCTTTGCTAATTAAAGCTAGACACAAATGACAGGAGTTAGTATACCTGCAAAACTATTTTGTGAAGTTGTGCCAGTCTACCCAATAGTTGCAGAGATAATTCACTTCGGCCCAAAGTCATGTACTGAACAACAGATCAAATTTGCCATCCTTTGACCCCCTAAAAAAATAAGTAACCACTGCACCATTTATAGTTGTAACAGATTATTTCACTGATTAGTGTTATCCCAAACTGCTAAATGAAGACGTGATTCGGCCGCTAATCTACTTAAATAAATCAAAGTATGTTTTTAATTTCAGTTCGCCAATCAAATACAAAGTAATGTGCCCCATCAGAGTGATAATTTGTCCGTCTGATTTAAAGAGGACTTTTGAAACCACCCTCCTTTAAAGAGGCGATCATTAAGTTAGCACACGTAGATATTGAGCTTTTTTTCTCAGTCAATTTCGTGAGTGTTATCAACCGAGGCCCCCGTCAGTTGAATTCTCCAGCCGGCTTGAAATGTCTCTCCATTCCCAGCAGCCTCTCAATCAATCAGTCCATTTTGTTGTGGTTCCCTGTGGCTCTACTCTGTTGATGCATAGAACTGTCAGAACCCTTCCTGAGCTGTCTCTAATGACTTTTTCATTATCATCGACATCAACTGAATGGCAGTGAAACAGAGGTATTAGGGCTTGCATTTAATTGAATCTGAGGGGGGAGAAATTATCAGAAGAAGGCGTCGTTGTAAAGCTGTGAAGAGCTGAGAGCCTTCGACTGCACCCAGGGGTCAAGTTGTCAGGCTGTGCATCTCATCGCTATAGTCGCTGTGACTTCCATAGCTCAGGGGCTGTGCTCTGTGACAAGACATGATGGATTCACACCCCTGGGAATACCCTCTACCTGTGTGTATATATGTGTGTGTGTGTGTGTGTGTGTGTGTGTGTGTGTGTGTGGGTGTGGGTGGTTGTGGGTTTGTGGAGGACCAGGAAAGAGTCCTCTGGTCACTCGTCTCCAAGTCATGTCAAAGACCCAGATAAGCAGAAATAAGTAACTCGGTGGGAAGCAAAATGGAACTTGGCAGTTTGGTCAGCAGAGATTGTTGGTGTATGACTATAGTGCCCGTTTTTGGCTCGTTGAGGAAATTACCATATACTTAAATGCGTTCTTTGGTTTCTAGTACAAAAAAAAACACTTAATGCCCACAGTGTGGTAAAAATATCACATCTCCCAGGGTGCAGTAAAATCATTACCGTGTGATGTTGGCTCTGTTTTTTGCAGACTATAAATGTCTGTGTTTCCATTCTAGAAAATCAATCTGCACAGAGTCAGTTTGATTTTCTTTGTGTTATTCTAAAGCTGATGACTCCTCCCTTATGCAACTCTGCCACGAGGAGAGCAGATCAGCAGTTCTGCACAACTTCTGCAGCACAGAAAGATCACCTGCACTTGGCCTTGTGTGCCTGTTAGTGTATGTTTACAAAAATACACAATGCGCCATTTGACCCCAGTGTACAGTAATATCTGCTTGTGTTGTTTAACTAGTGCTTAGTTTGTCCTTCGTAAGAAAGTCGATTTAAACTCACTCGCTGTCGTATCGCCATCTGTTATGCTGCAGTATTTTCTTACGCAGCAGTATTTGACCTGATGAAATATGTAAACAGACAGGCAGGTTATGTAACTCAGTGTAGGGTGTCGGGGGGTTAGTGATTGGACTAAAAACAGAACCGCACTGAGAGTGTGACCTCACTCAGACCTACGCAACGTTTGTTTAAACTGATGTCACATCTTGAAAAATATACAGTATCTCCTAAAAACCTGCAGGAATTAATCATATGTCACATAGTCTTTGTGATGTGTAAGATCGCATATGTGTTGTTAATGCAGTGTGCATGCCTGGCATGTGATCATCAGATACTTTTCTGAAGGTTTTAGTTGAAAAGCACATTTATTGTGATTTGGCATCTATTTATGCTTTGTGTTTTGTCTCCGCCAGGAGGATCATACAATCGGTCACGCGTGTGTGTGCATATACGTATGTGTGTGCATAACACTGCAATTGTCTGCCCGTTGACTCGTCACTCACTACTCTTAAGTGGCCCCTGGCCGATAGGGGCCGCTCGTGATAACACAGATGAGTGCACTAACTTTTAATGTTTTAGACGGTGTGTTTGACTAATAGCTAACAGCTAACGTAATTACCAGTACACAAACTGCTGAGTACATCGCCGCCACTCAGTTGCTGCTACGTGGGCAGATAGCTTTGTGAGATTAGTTTTGTTTTTGGCAATAGTATGAAGTGTCTTATACGGCGACATTAGGCCAATTGCCTACATACAATGCAATGCATACAATTGTTTTTGAGTTTCAATGAAGTGTGTTTTTATGGCGCCTTTCTCCCCATTAGTGTCTAGACCGGGGTTCGACAATTGTGGGTTATTCATTCAATCACACAATACAGCAGTTGTCGTTGCAGACACACCTGGCGGAGATCTGCACTCGACTGAGTGTACATTTCTACTTCCATATGGATTTCTTTACAGGGGCTCAAGCATAGCAAATTAGCTCAGGCTATAAACGCTATATGTGGCATTAAGTATGTCTCTTCAGAAATATACACAAGTAAATACGTAACTAATAGCGTTTATGTAATTTCTCAGCATGAGTGAGTAATTGGCAGAATAAAACAGACAGAGTGAGCTTAAGAATGAAAACACATTGGCGGAAGAAAACACACCCAGTTTTTTTAGTGCAAAAGGGATGACAAATGCACAACAAATGCCCTTGGAATTTTCCCTGCACTGTTTCTCCACAACGTAGCGATTGTGAAAATAACAACATGGAGTGATAGGATGCTGAGTCGGGATCATTTTACCCTTTCTAATGACTGCCTCTTAGTTTTATTCACCTCCAGTGTTATTTTAACATTTTCATGATGGGAATTTGATCCGACAAAAATAATCACAGAGCCCTTTTGGCAGAGAACAACCTTGGATGTGATTTAATTGTCACTGCAGATGGAAAGAAAGAATGTTGACGCTGTGAAATACGTGACTGAACTTGGATTATTTGAAGTTCCTCTCTTTCTCTCTCCTTTGAGCTTATCTCTGTTTGTGTTGCTGCGTGGAGGCAAGGCACTCTGCCAAGAAGTTACATTACAGTCGCGGGTTGACATAAACGTGGGTGTACAAAGGACTTGGAAGGCTTAAATACTTTATTGTGTGTGTAATGTGAACTGAGCAATTATATCTGCCAGCCTTTCAAACAAAGAGCTCCTATCAGGCAGGTTCATGTGTTTTTAATTAACAGCGTTCAGCTTTAAGACGTGAGCAGGCTAACCAGAGAAATAAAGCCACGATGATTGGTACATCTGCGATGTTTTAGTATAATGTAATTCTTTATTATGCTGATGGTGATGATGAGATGGCAACTGTGCGAGTCCTGATATGAAAAAAACAAGAACAAAAATATCCACTCTATAGATGTTGTTGTGAGATTTTGTTGCATCTGTATCAAATATTTCTTTCAGCAGAAACTGTTCTTCCCTTTGAGGGTTTACCAAATTTTCCCACTGACAGTATTATACTAAGACTGTTGCGACACCCTCATTTCAATTCCTAAAAATACATCTGTCTGAATTTAAATGTAGTTTCTCTTTCAGGCTGTGCGGGAATTTGAGGATTGTGTTTACTAGCACATTGGAGCAATTTGGCAGCCTGCTACCTCATTCACCACAATGTTGCACTAATCCAGTTTAAAAATAATTAGCTACAGGCTAGCAGGCCTGTAAAATTCCTTTCCCTGATTGTAAATGTTCTTGTCATAGCCTCCTCCTCTTCAGCTAGTTCCCGGAGTGGAAATACATCTAAAAACATTTTCCCATCTCTTTTATTCTTCCTCTCAAAGTTCATTGATGATGGTTTGCAGATAAAAACATTAGACGTAGCCAAATGTTGAAAATACAAAGTGATTTATAGCCTCTGTAAATTGGTTCCAGTTAAACTGCTCGATTAGACTTCTTCTCAGGACTGTGTGGGCATGTACAGACTCAGTGAGTGACATGTCCCTGAGTTAGCTTTGTTGAACCTCTTAGAACGGGACAAATCTCACCTTTGCCATTCTTATTGGCAGATGAAGATTTGCGACCTAATAATTCCCGTCAACACTCCGACCACCTTCAACCCGAGCAGAGGTCTGATCAGCAAGAATAACTGAAAACACCTGATTGCTTGTTCAAAGGCTTTAACTGCACGCGTTTCCACCTACATGGCTATTCTCACTGTCACCGTTTCCTCTCCCTCAGCTCCTAACCTGAAGGGGCGACCTCGGAAGAAGAAGCTGTCCACCTCTCAGAGGAGGGACTCCCAGAGTCAGGCTCAGGGTCAAGGTTCATCGGGGTCAACCCAGGGGTCAACAGCAGTGGCAGCACAGGACCCCTGCAGCCCAGACAGCAGAACTACTACCAAGGTAAGAGAAGATAACAGAAGATAACATTTGACAAAACAGGACTTTATTGATCCTAGAGGGGAAATGCACATATTCACATCACACAGCACAACAGGCTGAGAGGTAAGAAAAGAGATAAAGAACTCTTTGAATTAAATAAAAAAAATAAGTACAGTCAAATATGAAGTTAAATAAATTGGAGATGTGACATTTATATCTGAATTATACAAGTATATGTGCAAAAGTACATTATATGAAGAGTACTATACAGTAAATAGTAGCTTTAAGTCCTCGTTCATGTACTAGCTTTGCAGTAATGACATAAAACTTGTCTGTCATCTCTTTAATGTGAAATTCTTTATGTTTTTACCTTTTTGCTGTTTTGTTTTTGTTATTTGTGTTTTTATGTACGCTGCCATCTTGACCAGAGCCCAATTGTAAAAGAGATGCAAAATCTCAATGGGATTATCCTGAAAAAATACAGGTTCAAAAACTGCTTTCCCGATATTCTATATATCTTCAGTGACAAAACAAGGCTGCAACATTTCCCAAACAATTCAATGTGAGAGACACGGCAGCAGTGTAGAGTTACATTCTGTGACGGCCACTCACGTTGAGGGTCGAGCCAATCTTGGAACCCGTCGGCTGTCGGTCTGTCGTCAATGTAGCCTCCGGGGACAACGGGCAATATTTCTGGGGTTCTGGTGTAGCCAGCGGATATCCGGATAACTGCCATTGTGTAGAGTCCGATTAGCAGCTTGAGATGAGAGAATGGAGTTGGAGTTGAGAAACAACGTGTACAACTGGATTTCACAAGTAGCCAGTTTGAACTCAGTTACCAGTTTATTTTTTTGCTAATAAAAGCAAAATCATCGTCGGATGATAGCCGGTGGGTGCCGACATTGAATTTCGGCCAATTCTGCCTCTTTCGCTCGTTTACCTGCATGCAACCACATCCTGATCAAACGTGATTGGTCAATACTACTCAGACTGCAAACGAAAACCAGACCGCTTCCGATACCAAAATCGTTCTCTAAAGAAAACAATAGCGAGAAACTGTAACCATAACTGTATATCTAAAATAATTTAAGAGGCATTCAAATATTTACACACTATTATCACATGTGTATTACTAACATGATATCAATAACTCCTTTTTTTAAATATCACGTCAAATCTGGTAAATCGCAACACCCCTACAGTGCATTGATATGCAGATATACATACATATGGAACGCTAGGTCAAACAACATAGTGCTGCAACTAACAATTATTTTCAGTATTGAATAATCTGCCACGTATTTTCTCGCTTAATCGTTTGGTATATAAAATACCAGAATGCAGTAAAACAATGTTAGTCTCAGTTTCCTAAAGCCCCAGTGATGTCATATGTGATATTTATCTGACTTTGGTTGTACTATTCAAAGTGAAGGAAATATCTATATAAGCCCCTCAACTGCTGTTATTCTTACGACCTTGGACAGATAAAACAATTCTCTGTCGGAGCTGGAGTCAAACTAATCTGTGATGACAGGAAGATCTGCTCCATTGATAACCAATAAGAGGCTGCCAGTAAAAATATTTATTTGTGCTTCAACCCAAACACATCTCATCCAAACTGTCTGAAATCATTTGTCTAACAGTCTGTTAAGGGTTTCATTTTCATCTAAAGTTACACTCTCTCTTTACAGGTCAAACCTAACTGTAAAATGGTACCCAACGGAAAAATCCCCCCGGCAGCCAAACACAGGGCCTACGGCCTCAGCAAGAGATCCTCAGCTGAGGAGAAGGAGAGAGGGAAGGATAAGGAAAAGGAAAAAGAGGAGAGGAACGAGAGGGAGGAAATGAAAGAGGAGGAAACATCAGAGGAGAGTCAAGCAGAGGAGCAAGCATTCTTAGTAGAGCTCTACAAGTACATGAAAGAAAGAGACACGCCCATAGAGAGGATCCCCTTCCTCGGCTTCAAACAGAGTGAGTAGCACAACTTATTCTCTTATTCCCTCACTGGCAATGTTTAAACCATGGAGTACTCTAGTTTAGACTCAAAGGCCTGATAGTAAAGTTAGTGTGGATACATTACGCGGGTTATTTTGGAGATTTAGGTCATAACATCAACAGTGGGGAAGGTTACTGGGCTGATAAGGGCATCAGAGTAAAAGACACCTGTAGGAGCAAGCGTTAAAGTACCAAACCTGTTCAAAATGTCCATGCAAGAAAAGAAAAACATGTTATTTCAACTCCAAAAATGTCCAGTGCTTTGAGAAAAGAAACAAAAGTAAGTGTTGGTTTAGATATCAGAGTGAAATTGCACTCTGTAAGTCATACACGATGGTAAGATAAGCAGGAAAAACCCTGTGTGGATTTTAATTAGCATCTGCAACCACGTTACCTATAGTGCCCTCTGTTGTGATCAGAAGAGAAACCGGTAGCTACTTTTCAGTCAAGTCAGGGGCAGACTGTGTTCTAACTATCCATAATATTAGAGCTTTAGGGGAAAAAGTAAAGCTGGCTGCCAACTACTGCAGGCATTACGCCCAAAATCTCTAAATTACGCTGCTGTTAAACTATAAAAACACATTCAATCTGCGGTAACAATAAACTGAAGGAATAATTGTCTATGTCGAGAAAAATCACATCGAGTGGTTAGTAAAAGACTCTGGAGACTTCCTGTCAGAGCCCATTTTGGCTTGCTTTTATATAAGGAGAGAATATCTTCTCACAGTTTGTCAAAGGGCTTTCCTGTGAAGGCCAAGAACGTCCTCTAACAATGTTAAAAGAACATCACATTTATGCGAAACACGTCTGCCCAAGATGAAAGATTTTCCAACATAGGTCGGATGCTTAGCTTGCACTCGGTGTGCACGGGACAGAGAGGAGAAACATGCACGTAAACATCACAAAGGGCGCGCTCTGGTCTCTTGAAACTGTTCTCAGCATTTGTGTTTGTTTTATGTTTCATCTCGATGCAAGACACATGGGAGCGTGGGCTCTCACCTCAAACCGTGGTTTTCAGATGTACTTCTTTCTCGGTCTTTACTCGGGGAAGGAAGTCAAATGAGCTAAGAAAGACGTAGCCACTCACATCGGAACGTAGCATGACAACATCAGCAAATTAACAAGAGGCAGAAGAGGGAGAGAGATGTCTATTGCATTTTACAATGACAGTTTATAGCACAGTAAAACTCATTACTTTAAACTGTTACATGAAGGTAAGCTGCGGTCGCCTCGACTCTGCTAACCCTACCGCGGTATTTTGACAATCCTGTCATCTTGTCTGCCGACATGTTGCTGCTTAAATAGGTCATTGTGGTTGAGGGAGATAGAGAGAGGGAGCGAGCGAGGGAGACGTAGCGTGAGACGGAGGGAGAATTACATACCCAACATGCTTTACTTTTAGTTGGCATTTCTTGGTTTGAGCTCAGAATAAAGTCGAGGTCCACGCGCCAACTGTTTTACATACAGTACATGCTTTGAATCTCAAAACCAGACACATCATAAGCAGGGCCCTCATTAACTGGTGAAATCATGCTGTTTAAACTTCGTCCTTGGCAGCGAGCACACATCAGCGCATGTAAAAAGGAGGGAAAAAAGGAAAACACATCATAATTAATACAACAAGCCTTTAGATGTAATCAGGCGGCGTTCTCGTATTCTTCCCTTTAAACTCGCTACAAATGCATTAAAAGATCAAAGAACTCGCTTTCCTGTAATGGAAAGTGAAATTGTGTTATTTTAGTTGCGTTTGAGTAATAATCTTTTTATGAAGTTCTCCGACGTTTCACAAAGCAACAGATGGTTGAATGATTTACCAGAATTACCCATGCTTTGTTGGCTGCGGCAATTTGATTCACCTCCAAAAAACCCGATTTGAATCTGAACATGGACTGGAGTTTCACCTGATATTTTTTTTTTTTTTTAAGACTGCAATTGTGACTCTTAACAGCCCAGCAGAGAGACATAAACCTCACAAAATCCAATCAATCTCTTTACATTGGCTCATAACATATTGTAAACCCAGTCAAATTAATTGTGCCAGTTTAACACAGTTCCCACCTGTTTTCCCGCCTCACTCTCATGCTGAATTTACATTTCACTCCAGGGTTTGTATGCATAAAACATCTTAGAGCAAAAATGCAGGTCTGAGACTCCACACCTGTAATAATCAGAAGATATTAAGTTTAATATGTTAAAAAAAGGAAAACGTAGCTAATACCTATTATGAACATTTAGGGCTGCAATTAACAATTATTGTCTTTAATTTTATCAGTTATTGGTTTAGTCTATAAAATGTCAAAAATAATGAAAACATGCCCTTCAGTCCAGTTGACATCTTCAAACCCCAGAGATATTCAGTAAAATAATTTGGTATGCTGAAATAATTATTTGATTAAAAAAAAATGTTGCAGACATTTGTACTGTATCGATTAATACATCTACAATATGAAATGCCTCAAGATGGCTCGATTCAGCCCCAGAAAAAGTATTATGGAAAAAGGAAAATGTAGCTCTAAATCTCTTCAGTCAACCCATTCACAGGACCCGAATTCACACTTGTCAAAAAATAGTTGGTTTTACATTCACGGAGCCGTTACAGTTGGAGGGGGAAACTGTGTTGTGCTACAGTTTATTCATGTAAGCTGCTGTCCTTCTATTTTTTATCACTTGGTTAATATTGACTTTGCTCTACAGCTGCTGTCATTGAAGTTGTACTGTGCAGCAGAGGCGCTGAAAGAAATGAGAGAGAAAGAGAGAGAGAGAGTGGATTTAGGAAGAATAAAATAGAAATAGTTGTAGTTACATTGTATATTCTGAATGCCCTTGATCTGCTAGATTAACTAGTAACTGTGCGTGTGCGACTATGCCAGACTTGTGTGTGCTTCAGTGCTCGGGCATCAGCATGTGATTGTGAACATCAGTTCCAATTTGTCTCCCTCTTTCAGCCTTGTTGTCTAATTGCCGTGCCATCGGTGTGTCATCGAGGCTGCATTGTGTTCCTGTTTTGTCATCCTTATCTCAGTGATAATTGCTCCTGCCAAATAGAGGGGAATTAAGAAAAGAAATTGCTAATGACAAGACATCTAAGAAAAGGCATGTTCTCTCATTTCCTTTATCTGTTCTGTTCCCTCTCAGTCCCGTGTGCTATTGTGGTAATTACTGTCGATGCATAACAAGCTAGTTAAATAGACCATCTTTCTGTTTCTACAGTCAGAAAGCACAATACGCCGGAGTGCTCAGTTCAAACAGAAAAACCTACCCAGCTGCCTTTGTTATTCCACCCGTGCATTGACAACGGTAGCAGAGAGGAGGGAAGGAAAAAAAATCAATGCTGTCAAATGCGGAGATAGGAAAATGTCATTTTGACAAATGCAAGGCTTTGTGTACGCACAGATTGAATTTTGATGGATTTCTCCCCAGGCGAGGCCTCCTTTTCTTATTTATATGCCTTCATATAAAAATGTTAAACAATGATGTTACAGAAAGCAAATATAAATGTCATTGCCACAAAAAAGGGCTCCAATGAACTTGTGGTTCTTTGTTTGCGGGAAACATTTTCTTTCAAAGACAGACAGCCATGTGAAGCCTCTCTGAAAGCTTACATGGCTATTTTTAGGAAAATGTTACACCAGACTTGTATTTTGATATGGCCTGTCATGGAGTATTTGCATGGGGAAATCAATGCAAATGAATTTGCATTAGTTCAAACAGAAGTTTGAGCATATTGCCAAGCGTTTGATGCTTGTAATAGTTTTCATTCATACCTGCAGGCAGCGGCTGAGGGTTAACAGATCTCTTTGTCGGGATGAAGCATATTCTGTATTTTATCACACAGCGGTGATTGTACAAGTACTCAATATTCATTGGCAGCCTTTCAGCTGAAGAACAGTGCTGCTTTGTGTGAAAAGGATAAACAAAAGATGTTTTCATTTACCACTTCTATCTGTGTATCTATCTATTTGTCTGTCTGTCTCAAGTATACTTAAGTATTTGGGTATGACATAAAGTATGTACTTCTACTTAACTGCATTTGAAAAGGAAATATTATCCTTATTACTTTCCTATATGTATTTCGACACTCTGCATAATGACTACTTTTAAGTATATTTTGTCGATAGTACTTAGTTAAGTATTTTACATGTTGGTATTTATTTAGTACTGCTTTTACTTACCAAAAGGATCTAAATACTTCCTCCAGCACTGTATTTATCTCCCTCTGTCTGGTGTGATGACTGTATGTGACGTCATGTCTTTCAGCTCACTTCCTGACTGCTTTGTTTGTCTTCTATCTTCCACAGTCAACCTTTGGACCATGTTTCAAGCTGCTCAGAAACTAGGAGGATATGAGTTGGTAAGTATTCACATGTGTGGGGATATATTCCCTCTCTTTCGTTGAAGTCCCTCCCTTCTGTCTTCTATCTCCCCCTCTTTCTGTTTCCGTTCTCCTGCTCTCTTGTTATTTATTATCTCCTTCTCTGTCACTTACACCCTACCTACCTCCCATGCTTCTTCCCTGCCTTGGCTTTTTCTGCCCTCCTTTTGCCCCTTGAGGTCAGTCACTATTTTCCCAAGGAGAAAGTCTTGCTCAGAGCCGCATTTAGCAAAAATGATGCCGTTGTTTCAAAACCCCCTTAGAGTGGAAAACACATGTTCCTCTGCTCTGTGCTGGTCAGAAGGAAATTGGTCAAATCGCTCATTTTTTCCCATGTTGGAGATGAAGTGAAATGCACATACAGTGTGTACTCACATGTACCGCATGTACACACACACACACACACACAACCGGAGAATTGAGTATGTATGAGGCACAGGCATTGGCAGCCCCACCTGCCGTTTATTCATTCACTATTCATGTGCGACGTGTTTCCAAAGTGAAGTCAATGTTTGATGTTTAGTCGTCAAGTGTATTGCTCATGCCTGTTTCTTCATTATCTAGCTGGTTTAATGTCATCAAAACAGACAGCCAGACCAGACCAGACCATAAACAGGATCCTGCTCATATAATTGGGGCTCATAGCCTTTTAAAACCCTCATATCTGCAGCTGATTATCTCATGTTTCATGTCCAGGCTTTGTTGGCTCCGTGGCAGCTTGAAGTTTTGTGTTTTGTGTTGTAGCCCGTCATCTGTTATGGGAAAGGGGGTTATAGCAGGAACAACTGACTGCATGATGTTAACAGAGCTTATTATGTTAGAGAATTGAGTGTTGAGGATTCAATAACTGGAACACCATGACTCAGTAACTCCCCAAGACCTGAAAATGATCTCAACCACTTGTGTTTTTCTCTTTGTTTTGTTTTCTATTTTTCCAATTCTTTCCTACTCTCATATTCTTTTCAATTTTCCTCACTCTACATTAATCTCATCGTCGTCCTTTGTCTCTTATTCTTTTTCCTCTTTGTCTTCTCACTTTGTCTTCTCACCCATCCCTCCAGATCACAGTCCGCAGACAGTGGAAGCACGTATATGATGAATTGGGCGGGAACCCAAGCAGCACAAGTGCCGCCACGTGTACACGGAGACACTACGAGAGGTGAATTATCATGTTCGGCGCTTATACTGTATATGACACATTATGCATGCACACATGGAACAGTTTGCATCGCCTGAAGTGAGTAAACTCCCTCACAGCTGCATCAGATATGATTTCACAATGCTTAATTCATAACATCAGGGCACTACAAGAGAATAATTGATCTTATTCAGGGGAAGTCAATGCACTTACACATATGTGAAGAACAGTCTCTCACTGTTGGGGCATGCAGTTCTAATAGGATTAAGAAATGCTTTCCTTATGGGCCTAAATCAATTCATGATGAGATGAGATTCAGTTCTTTTTCTTAGGATTAATTGATTAGTTGTGTGGCACTGTGGAACCAATTATGCAGTAAACTCCACCCATGCTGCTGTACAAGCAGGCTAAAGAGGATTTAAAAGCTCAAAATGACTGCAAAGTTTTGAATTATTAAGTGACCTACATGGATGCACATATAAAAAGTAACCACCCTCTCCACCATACATGCATTGCAAGCACAGAGAGCTGCAAGATAAAATGAAAACACCAGTTTAATGTATTCCACTAATCATTCAGTCAGATACTGCAGCAGCGTGAACCTCCACATTATAATCACTCAGATGGTATTACCAAACCAAAGCAAGCATATGAATATGATCCTGAGGGAGCTGTGAGGGTATTATTCAGGGCTGCTTGCACACACTCGCACTCCCACGCATGCACAAACATGCACACACGCCCACTTTCCCAAGGTTAAACAAATGCCAAACACAATCTTCCCAACAAGAGATAACCAGTCGCTCATGAGGCAGGTCATTCCTCCGGGCCGGCGACCCTCTCCACATCCCTCCGGCTGCTGCAGGTTCATGCATCAGCACAGCTTAGGCACACACACACCTGTCAGTAATACAGCAATGTAGCAGCAGTACCATATGAGGGAGCCGGGCAGCTTCATATTGTGTCAAGATTGCATGCTGTAAGCGAATTTGCAAGCGCAGGCAATGGCAACCGGAGAGGCTTTTCCAGGAAATTTGTGAAACCATAGGTGTGAGAGAGTATTGTTCAGTGTGTTGTATTTGTACACATGTTGACACTGTGCCTCTAAATGTTTCGGCTGAGGGTGCTTTCAGTGTTTACGCTGCGTTCCTAGTTCTTCCCCACTGCCTCCAACAGGGGTGTGTTTTATTTATACTAATAATAGTTACGACTTTCAAGTGCCAGAGATGATGTTGGTCAAATATTGTTTTGTTTTTTGCGGGTCAGAATATGTGTTTGATCCTTTTTTTTTTGTGAAGTCAGTGCGATGCGTCTCTGCCAAGAAATTACTTTGAAGCCAGATGTGGAGAGCTATATTGTCCTTCAGTTTTTAAGGTGTAAATAGGGTCGTAGGAAGACAGGCGGGGTAGGACGAAGCCACGTGGGACGCGTTGAGGTGTGACTGCTGCTGCGCTGGCCTTTCCTTCTCCAGAAATAATGCTGAATCAATACAAAGCAATAATATCCACTCACTGCAGTGAATATCAGGATGACAGGGAGAGAAGGTGTAAAAGGGAGGGGTGGAGGGGATGGGGCGTGTGTGTGTGTGTGTGTGAGAGAGAGAGAGAGAGAGAGAGAGAGAGAGAGAGAGAGAGAGAGAGATCAGCTGAACCTGAGCAAGTTTCCATTCAGGGGAATAATTTTAGCTGAGCCTTGGTGTTTGGGCTGCTTGGAGGGCAATTAGCTTCATTGTATTAACTCAGCAAACACGGCCATTCTCTCTGCATGATGAATGAGGCTGTTTGTGGGCTCGCTGAAGTGTGCGTTTGTCCCCCAGAGGCGTCTTTGTTTCCACCTTTAATCATTAGTCAATGTGCTACAGAAATATAATTCACAGGGACGAATGTACAGTGTACAAAACTGGAACAACACTTATATTTCCCTCTGCTCTCTGAAGGACCACTTCTGATTTGTCTCGGCGGGGCAAAGTACAGTAAAGCAGGGAATGTGAAGCATCACATAGTGGGAAGAAAGGAAACCATATTTCAGGACATAATTGCTTTAAATGAAGTGGATATTCTTGGCCGACTTGGCATTATTTGGGTTAAAGACTGTGGATATCCACAAGCATTCAGCTCTCATTTTAAATTGTACACATTATCCCTTTACAGCCCTAATGGTAAAATCATATGAAATGGTTTCCTAGGAGATGTTATTGTGAAAGACGGAGCCAGGGGCATAATATATTTACGCTGTCCAGGAGCAGTTGGTAATGGAGTTACATGGCTGAAATTGAACAGGAGATAACCTCAGCTAATTGTAATTTTCAAAGTTACTGTTTTTTAGTCGCTGAGCGCCATTCATTAGTGTGCAGGGGAAAATCAATGCAGAAATGTCCAAGCCAAGGTCTGCCGCTGCGGCTACAGGGAAGCTTTAATGATATTTATTTAAACCGTTTCCCGAGATTAGCTGTCAGGGCCCAGCGCTCTGAATTAAAAATGAGGTCATGAAAAAGATGGCATCAATAACCTTGAAATAGACTGCCTTTTGCTTCTGTGCTGTGCCATTTTCTCTCTCTCTCTCTCTCTGTGTCTCTCTCACTCCCTGCTTTGCACTTCATGCTGTTTCTTTCATTATACAGGTCAGCGCCTTTTAACAGCTCCTACATATTTAATCCTCCTGGTTTCCTACGTGATCTCTTGTTACAGAAACATCACATTTCAGTATCTCTCTTCATTTCTGCCTGTTACACATTTTTAATACCTCACCATGCCTTGGCACTCTAATGTAATTGCACAACAGGGTTGGTATTGGGGATGTTGGAGGGGGGGGGGGGTATCCATGGCAACAGAGAAGCAATTTAGAATAATTTGCTATTTAAAAACTCTTAGGTTTTTTGGGCAACAGCAGAGAGCGCAGATGAGGAGTTTTGGATTCGATCATTTCATCTTCAAAATATTAGATGTTTGCCAGATGTACTGAGCATGCAGTCTGAGGCCTGTGAGATATTCTCTAATGCAGATATGTGTTTCTTTTAAGACAGATGCACGCCTGTTCCAATTTTAGTCGACGAGATGTTTTATTGATTCAGCCTTCATTCATTCCTCCTGGTTCCTCTGCATTCACTAAAGCTGCTCTCCAGCTATAAAAATACATGTGTTGCCTCATAATTATGAGGAAACCTTGAGCCAGTCTTCACGCTGGGAATTACAGTAGAGTTCAGATTTTGGTAAGAGAAAGGAGACCAGGAGTTTTTATATTGTATTCTGCTGGATGCTCAGTATCTTGCACTCGTCAGCATCTGTCTGCATTATCCTTGCTGTATTGCAGATACATCAAATGTGGCGCATTACACTTTAGCTTGCCTTGTCTAATTCTGTAGCGCAAACACAGATTTCAATTACTCTGGTGTCTAGTTCTAAACCAGAGGGATTACAATAAGAGGTGGTGGGGAGGGAGTATCACCTTCATGTCCTCCCTGCTTTTTATTCCCCAGAGAAACTGGGAGAGAGAGAGAGAGAGAGAGAGAGAGAGAGAGAGAGAGAGAGAGAGAATGACAGATTTTGAATGAACAAGCAAAAATGATTCAATATTAGGAAATACAGTACAGGGGAGAAAGAAGGCAGAGAAGTTGCAATGTGAGAACATGGTTGCATATTGTCTGTCAGCATTCCTTAACACTATAAACAATGTCTCAACATGTTGTCCACATCAAAAGCATGGCCAAATACCTTGCATATGCATGACTCTCCTCCTGAATCTGGATGTGAGATTCAGTGGGAATGCAGCCAAAGAGCTGCATGTTCTTTACACTGAAATAGCAGGCAGCTATTTTAACCTCTGAGCGCTAGATGGTTTCCAGAAGACAAAACGCTTCATTGAGCATTCAGTGATAAAACCTCTCTCTTTATTTTTTTTTTTTTGCGGCGATCTAACAAATCACAATATTGGATGATTTCTTTATGCGCAGAATTTAATCAGAAGGTCCAAGGTTTCTCTCCCTAGTGGCGAAGAGAAATCACAAATTACGCCACTGACGTGTAACAGGCAATCGACTGTATGAGAATCTATTCAAGTCTACTGAGATTAATAACTAGTTCAGTGTAGCAAATTAAATTAATGACATTCTTGCAGAGATGTCAGTTCACTGTAGGGCAGCGAGAGGGAACATATGCTGTATATTTTTGGAAATCACCACTTGAGTGTGTCTTTATGCAGAACAGCACACATTTATCTTAAACAGTTAGCTCGCTTTGCTCACACCTGCTATGGCGAACATTTACCACGAGCTGCGGCAGCAGCAGCAGCAGCAGCTAATGAGAGCAAACCCCGGGGGAACAGTAGAGGTCATTTTAAATCTGGTATTTTCAGACTTGACAAAGGACTTAAGTTTTTCATACATTCCTGCGCTGCCCTTCTGTTTTAACTGCATGAATGAGGGTCACCTCAAGTGGTTTGGCTTCGAGACAAAAGAGGGGCTTTGAGGCATGAATCCAAAGCAGAGGGACCAGCTACAATGTCTGTTTATCCCTCTGCAGGCATCTTGTCTCTCTTTGTCTCTCTTTTTCTCCACAGCAGTTATTGCTTCCTCATTGCTGTGATGATGTTTAATCATTGCATTTAGATTCGATAAAGATTTGATTTTATCTTTTTTATTTTACTCTCTTTTCCTCACAGGCTTGTAAAAGTAAGTCATTTTCTTTCCTCCACATCTCTCTACAGCCCCCCCGGGGAAGGTCCACCAGCTCTTTAAATAGTTTCTTTTCCTTTTTTTTTTTTACGCGTGAAGCAGCTCTTGTGATCTTAACACAACACCAGTTAAAATTAATTTCAGCACGGATGGGAGGGAAATTGTTGAAATGTAACAGCCCGCAGGCTTTTCCCCCTCTTTATTTGGTGACTGAGGCATTTCTTGGATTCTAGCACACTGCTTGTTCCTGTAACACAAAACTCAGATGAGAGCAGCACATTGCTGGTAAAGTCACCTTGTTTTTGCCAAGTTGGGTTTTTTGGGGGGAGGTGCTTTGTGTGCAATCCATTATTTCAAAGGCACAGACATGCTTAGTTGACAGTTGTGGTTTGAAGTTGTGCTTTAGACTGTTGAAAGATCACACAGATATAATACATTTTATTAAAGAAAAA